CATTTCCGATATTCAGGATATTTCTCTGGTGATCGAACGAAAACCCATGTTGACGAATCACATCCATGCCCAAGATGAAGTCATCTTCAATATCTGCCACTAAGACGCTATGCTGAAACTTCAAATTTCCTAACTTCAGCCTCTCCCCGTACAACGGCCATTTCCCCCGTAACTGTACGTAAACACACTCTTCTTCCCAGAGGCATCAGCTTCAACCCATGCACTGAGTTAGCTGGCACCGACGATACCATAGCGCCAGTATCCACTGTCATTCGGATTCTCCTACCATTGCCCTTCCCGTCGATCACTAAACTGTCAGCGGTTCTTCCCAGACTCTGTTCTCCCCAGTCAATACTCGCCCCTTAGTATTGACTGATTTTAGTTTTCCTGGTGCCTACGTTCTCTGGATGGTGAACGGGATCGCATTTGAACGCGGCAATCCCGTTTGATGTGGCCATTCCTGCCACATCTAAAGCACCTTATGTCCTGGGATCTTCTATGGTTCTCTGTCCGGGTGTTGTTGCTACCCTTGTTCACTAGTAACTCACATAGTTTACTAAACATCTCCTCCAAACGTATGTGAGAACTTCCGGGCTGTTCCTCGACCGTTACAGATCTTATCTTCGGTCTAGGGATGGCGCTAAAAGCAGCTTCAATTTCTAGCGCCCTGACCAGTGCTTCGCTGCTGGTAGAAAATCGGGATATTTGCAGCGCCCTCTGTAATTCGTTGTCCCTCAATCCACTAATAAAACACTGGGCGGCGAGTTCCTCCCTAAACTCTTCCGGTGCTTCTGGATATGCCAGGTGTACCAGCCAACGTAAGTCTGCTTCGAATTCCTGCAGACTCTCTCCGGACCTCTGCAGGCGTGTCTTAATCTGGGCCTGGTAAAGTTGACGTCGATGTTGATCGCCATATCTTCTGTCCATTGCAGCAACCAAAGTTTCGTATTCCTGCTGTTGGGCTGCAGGAATAGTTTGCAGCAGTTCCAGGGCAGGGCCACGCAGCGCGATGACAAGTGCCGCTGCTTTCTCCTGGTCAGTCCATCCATTGGCAGCAGCCGCTGCTTCAAACTGGCGGTGGTACATCGTCCAGGTGGTTTGTCCATCGTAGGTCGGGGCCTTGAGGTTCGCAGTTCCATGAACGCCAGGTGTTCTTACTTGTGCCTTGGTCTTCTGTAGGTCCATCTCTAATTTTTCCATTTTCTGCTGAAGGCGTTCCTCAAGATCTTCTACGGCTTCTTGAAGGTGATTTTCCTGCCGTTTTTCCAGGTCTTCAAAATTCTTCTGTAGTCGAAATTCCTGATTTTCCAAAGTTCTCTTAAGACGGTCCTGATCTTCTTGTCTTTCCCTGTGACGTCGCTCCTCCACACGAATTTCCAAATTTCCTAATATTTTCTCAAGCCGGTCCTGTTCTTCTTGTTTGTCTTGTTGTCGTTGTATTTTTAAATCTTCGAAAATTTTCTCAAGCCGGTCCTGTTCTTCTTGTTTGTCTTGTTGTCGTTGAATTTTTAAATCTTCGAAAATGTTCTCAAGCCGGCCCAGTTCTTGTTGACGTCGTAGTCTTTCCTCTCCCTTTTCTCTTTCTAATCGGGCTCGCTCTTCTTCTCGTTCTTTACGGAGTCTTTCTTGTTCTTCTGCTTTCTCTTTTCTCATGTTCTCCATAAAATCGCCCAATAATTTGCTTACTTCTTCCATTTTCTTCGATTGCTCCCTTGTACCAACCATAAAAATACTCTGATTCGGTCTTAAAATCCTGTTGAATCGCACTTCCGACACCAATTGTTACGGATTCCGTGGGTCCACTATTTAAACTCACGATAAAATACTTAACGAATTTATTTGTCTCACTCTGTACACACAACTTATACTATTTACGACACAATTTATGCAACTACTATTACTCTAACGGTATTTCGCTATTTCAAGCGCGGTATATTCAAACTTCAGACTTCAGACTATCTTCAGACTGGTCCAACTGTCAAAGCGCGGGCCTTATATACCCCCTGGCGATTGTTTCTGGAATTTTCTAAAGAATTCTGTAATTTTCTTTTACTTTCTGGCGAATTCGCCAGGTTCCTCAATGCACGTTGCGATTATGTAGCAGTAATGCAGTTATGCAACCAGTAATACACCTTGACAATATTTTTCCAGCAAGACGAGACACCGTATGCAGAATGCTGAAGTTAGCAACATATGTTTGCAGCCAATTTCTAGAATAATTGAATAGCTAACCAAGATCCCAGCGGCACCAAGACCGGCGGTCCGTTGGCCACCGAGGCCGCCGGACTTAGTGCCTTTGGATTTTTACGTTTTTTTATTTTTTACGTTTTTTTACGTTTTTTATTATTTTTTTTAGTTTGAGGAAGAATAAGGTTCTTATGTTTCATCTGCCCGTATAATCTAGACAAGAATTAGAAGTACTTAGCGGTTATGTGAGGGCATCTTTCACACCTACTCAGGTAATGAATTCCGCGAGAAATGTTCAAAAACGGTTCTGTCTGTCCATAACATAAGGGTCGATATGTTGAACACCTGTAGCAAAATCTCATGTTTTAGTGTGCTATTGATGTTTATTGTTATTAGATATAGTTTAAATTGTTACAAAATTCTGCATCTCTTATTGTAAATATTATTTTCGATTTAATTGCTGTTCACAGCTAAATTTTTTTTGTATTACAGCCGGTACTGTTCAAAAGTTCAAAGCCTACTTATTCGAAGTAATTGTTAAAAATGCACATTTTTGAAAAACACCCCGTAACCGTAGCCGTAACTCCGAAACGGTAACAGATATCGATGCGTGGTTTTCACCATCATGTTTTTGATAAAAATTGAGCTCCAGACACCGATATTAGTTTTCGTCTATCTCCTATAGATAAGGATGTTTCCTATGGGTATTTCCCTTTAAAAGCGTCTAATTTGGCCCACCCTGTACATTTTTTCAAAAAGATCGCTAGTTTTCAGTCAATCCTCATAATGCCTAATGAAGACTCGTCAGATTGTACAAAACATTTTACGCGGGATGGTATAAATGGTATAGAGTTATACCATCCCGTTAATTAGGTTAGTTAACCTAAATTTATCTAAGGAACATTTTTTGAACAAATCTCTTTCAAAATTAGTAAATAAATAAGACACTGGACAAAAAAGCAGCAGATTAAATGTTTTGAAATCTGCTAAAAACTTTAAGCTTATAGATATGGGTTGTTGTGTAGCTGTGACAGTGCCGAAAGCAGATCGTTTTATAGGTTTGGGGACCAAATGGAAACCAAATAAGGAAAACTCTTCACCAGGGGCGGCTTGTCCTATGAGGCAGATGAGGCAGTGCCTCACCAATACATTTGAAGAATTACACATATTAATCGATACATCTTTAATCACAATTTTATATTTTTTTCCCTATTTGCATCAATAAAAATTGTATTTTTTATCCGTCATTCTACAATATATTACGTCGATGGTATTACTTTAAACGCGCTTCCTTTCCCATATGCGACAAACTCGACGATATATATATATCCATCTCATTTGTTCTTTAAGAAGTATATGTGCAGAGGTTTGCCTCTCGCCTTTCCTTGTCTAACGTATTGTGGTATATCGCATTGACGGAGCGACAGCGTTAACTGGAATCTTAAATCTATAGAATGAAAAGAAAAAGCATAGGCAAAACCTTTAGTTGAAGAGAGATAAAATGTATGGAGTAGTAGCGCGTAAAAAGACCGTATTGAGGCGAGCCTCAAATGTAAATTTAAACCTTAAAAGCCGTTCGTTAAAAATATGTACCACTTCCCGATCAGTCCGAGAGATTTTAGGCGACAGGCTGAAAATGCAGAATTGTATTATTTGGGAATTTGTATTAGTTTGAATCACAGTTTGAATTAACTCTGCCGGTTATTGCACTGTTTTGTCTCTAATTAATTAATATATACGTTTTTTAATGTGAATTGCATGTTTAATTACTCGTCTTACTGATTACAACATATTAAGTAAATACCTAAAAATTGGGCAGTGACTTGTTGATTGATATGATGATTTAGAGGGACCATGCATCATCAGAGGACTTTCCCAGGCAAAGTTTTTCGAATTCGAATCATTTCTAGATAAATTGTGTACTCGTATAGTGAAAAAGTAAAGCAACCTGTTACAGAGATTTAATTTTGTTTTATTTTTATAGGATGGGTAGAAAAACAAAATTTTACCATACAGAGTAAAATATAAGACAAAATATCCTGAGGTCGCTTTGATAAAAATTTACTGTTGCAATAGCCCTATGTAATAGGTACCGTATGATCGAAAAAAAACGGCGTCCAGTTGGCTTGAAAATGACGATCGATGACATTTTCCATATAATTTTACATATAAAATGACAGCGGTCTTCATTTCATAGCCATCGCTGACGCCGTTTTTATTCGATCATACGGTATAATACTGCGAATTATATTACATAAGGCTTAAGGCAACTGCTAAATATTTAGAAATATTTTAAATACAAAAATGTGCGCTTTTTAAGTCTGTAGGTATCTAAAATACTAAAAATAATATACAGTGTGTATTGCATTTAAAAAAATTGAGATATAGCATTATAATATTGCAATGTTGGCCGTGCCATAAAAAAATCCCTGTATAATGTAAATTTTTCTCGGATTTCTTTTTTTGTCCTACATACCTCGCTATATACATACTTAAGCAATAATATATCAATAAGTTAAATTCACTCCAGGTTTTTACCACTTTTTAAAAAATGAAATTTTTCAAATATGAATTATCATGGAAATCCCGCATATATAGTGCTTCAAATAAATCAATAGTGTGATGTATGCTGAATTTTATGCTGAACCCAATTCTGTACAGAAAAATGGTAATGCGATTGCAATTTTAAAGAAAATATTTTTTTTAGGATATGCACTTTTTTTATATAGAACTTTTTTTTCATATATTTGGGAATTTTCAATATATTCACTACGAAGATATTGGACTTCCTCGTACTAATGGTCACCCTATATACATACTAATAAAAATTCTCTTCTAATGTGCCTCACCATCTTCCAGTGCTACGAGCCGCCCCTGCTCTTCACTCTGACTGTTTTTTGTTTTAATTTTACTTTATTGTTATATAAATAATCTTAAAGCACCAATTAGCAAAGATACTAAGTTTTAAATTTTAGAATCATCAATTTAGAAATTTAAAAATATAGTGATTACGTATTGTGATATTTAGTTATTATCCGATTTAAAAATTCATTCATTCCGTCTGTTTTAATCTTCGAATGTTTTTTGTGCGGTGCGGAGCCTAATCCTTCAGCATAAATAGGAACCAAAGCTTGATCTGGAGACACGCCAGCAATTGCGGTTGCTACAGGACGAGCTATTGCTAATCCACCAGGCCCGACTACCGCAGTTGCAATTGGTTTACTAGCTGCTACACCTCCTTCACCTGAAATTATAAATATTTTTATTTGAAGCATGCTCTGTCAAAATTAGTTTACCCGCTACCGCCAAGCCAATCGGTTTTGCCTCAGCTACAGACGCATCTTCAGGTGGCAAATTTACAGCAACGGCATCATTTTCGTCTTCATTCTCTTCCTCTTGTTCCTCTTCTTTTTCTTCATTTTTATTTACTTCTTTTTCGGGTTCTTTTTTATTACCGACTTTTTCATTTTTATTTAATTCGTTTTTCTTTTTGTTGTTTTCTCTTTTCTTCTCGAACCATTGGGTCAAGCCTTCCCTATTTTCAGAACCTAAAGAAGTGTTTTCCTGTACTTCAACTAATTGCTGTACACTATTATTTATCGAAGCCATGCTATTATTATACTTTTCCTCGTCCTCTTTAGTTAATTCCCCATTTTTCTTTGCTAGTTCTTGTAATCTTACAATTTCTCCAGCATTTTTCTGAATATTTCTTATAAATTCATAACCCTCAAATAGATCTATGTCAAACTTGGTGGGCAAAGGAGGATTTTCCAGTTCAAGAGGATCGATTTCTATTTCTGTTTGTTCTAACGGCGGCGGAGGATTAACAGGCGTTTTTACTATTACTGATGATATTAACTTGCCATCTGATGTTTCCGTAATTTGCAGTGACTGACCTTTACCTCCGCCATAAAATGGTACTAATGTAACTTTTGTAGCCGACCTAAAAATATCCACAGTTAATTGTTTTCTTTATTCATCTTTTACTTAACTTTATCAGATACTATTGTGGTTGAGTTTTTCTGTTTTGTCTTTTATTGAGGTCGACTTTTTTCAATTTAGGTGAAATTTTTATGTATTCAGTTTTTGATCTACAGTTACTTATTATTGATATTTTCAAAAAAATGCATTGAGAAAATTATTGATAAATTAGGAGAAATATTTTTGCTGGTTCTAAAATGGTTAATCCCGTTTACACTTTTTCAAATTTCCATACCGTTTTAGGGAAAATTAAAAAAAAATGAAAAATATGGGTGAATTTTTTCCTAAATTGAAAGTCCTAAAAACTAAAACCCGTTTCTATGGTAATATTATATATATTTCATTCTTTGATGGATGGTTATTATTAATTTTGATTAATGTCATATTTTTTGCTGTTGTTAAAGTATTAAATTTTCCGATAACTATTTCACCGTTTCCGTACCATTGAAATAAATAAATTTTCTGTTTTTTTAACATTCTAAACAGCAAAAAATGAGACTTAGTTACAATTCTATCAATAACAATCTATCAAAGAATGAAAACGAAATTATATAATCATAGAAACGCGTTTTGATTTTTAGGACTTCGGAAACAGAAACAAACTTTAGGAAAAAATTCAACCATATTATTTTCATGTTTATTTAATTTTTTCTAACCGGTATGGAAATTTAGAAAAGTATAAACTGGATTAACAATTTTAAAACAAGCAAAATTTTTTATTAAGAATGATTTTTTTCTCAAAATATCAATAATAAAAAAGTTTTCCCCTTGTAAAGACAATCCGGGGACATACTATATATTAGATTAAAAACAAAGGATTAAAAAAATATATTTAGCCTGTTGCTATTGAGTATTAATTAAAGTAATAATTAAATTTATTGAGTATAGATATATTAAATTCGACATTTATGGCCACAAGTGGCTATGAGAAATAACTGGAAATTATGTTCCAGTTCGAAAAATATGCGCTAGGGGACGCCTTTATTATAACCAATCAGAAAAATTTAACATTTAGATACTTGTTTTACATGTTTCATTGACACTATCAAAATTATTATTAATAATCAACTCTGGCCGTTATGAGAGACAAATATTTGAATTATGAAATTTTTTGTCTTTGTGAAGATGCGTGTCACCAAAAATGAGCTCGTGTGTCAGCACTGACACGCGTGTCATAGGTTCGCCATCACTGAATTTGGACGATGACCTACAAAAAGATATGAGATCCCATCAAAAACATAGAATGTAAAAAAATGCCAAGTCTCGCAACGTTGTTCTTCCACTACAAAAAATTGTGGGATCTATTTACTTATTTTATTTAGTTTTTATGAAAGTCCCCTGATATTTTTTTGATGGTTCGCCCCAAACCCGATATTCCACCGAACCGTCGCACAACCCATCGCATCGGCGGATTGGCGTATTAAATCGACGTATTGACGAATCGCATCGACAAACCGCATCAGCGCATAGTGAGGATGGGGCTTAACATAAGATTACACTTTTTGTAGTGGAAGAACTGTGTTGCGAAAATTGTCATTTTTTTACACTCTATGTTTTTGATTGGATTTTATTGACTTAAAAGCATTTAGTTGGGTATATCGTGACTTAAAAGTTCCCAAGTAGCATTTGGACGTTATCTAACGTCGCGTTCAATAAACCCGACGTCGGGTACCAACGTCGGTTCGACCGCCTGACGACCCTTATTTGCACCTAAATGGGGAATACAGATTCGGGTCGCCTCGACGTCGGTATCTGACCTAATAGGGAATGTAATTCTATCAATTACCAACGTCATATTACGTTGGATTTTAGTTACTTAAAATTCGTCGCTAAGCACTAACGTTACGTTTGGTTTCATATTCTCTACCAAGAATACATAAAAACGTAACCAAATTACCTAATTACAAATGGATTCATAATCACTCCTCGAATATAACTATAAGTGCCTATTTAATTTCATATTATAATATTTCTGAATCATTAATCCTGAAATCAGTTTTGTCAACGGAAGTCACTTTCTTGATATATCTGATTAAAATACTCCGGAAAACAACGAGCGCCTTCAAAATTAGGTAGATTTATGAAATAAAAATATCTATAAAAAAGTAACTCGCAAAATATATTTTAATTTTCTAGCTGGTTTAATCATAAAACTGTACTGTGGTTCTTCCCAAACTCAACCTTATCAATATTATTCTACTAGAAATCGAAATGTGAATATTAAATTTTAAAAACAAAAAACGATTTTAAAATGGCTGACAATCGGATACGTGTTAAGAATGGCGGATTTCTGTGTCTGACTTAATATGAACTACCAATATACCAATTCCGACCTGGTCTCCAACATTAGTCGTCTCACATGACCGAAGTCATCAAACCGTACGACGGGCAATCGTATTGTGACGTATATAATTCCAACGTACGCCACGTAACCTCACTTTGCGTTTTGCGTATCAGTAATTTGTGGATTTGAGCAACTATATTTTAGTTTTTGTTTTCTCGTTAAAAAAAATGGGCAGCCACTTTTTTAAGCCTAACCTCACATGTCGGAGGAGGATGGGGTCTGCTGGTATCCTAAGCTAAAAAATGAAATTAAGATGCACCAGTGTAATGCAGCATCTCTTCCGGATAAAAAGCATTTACGGGTGGAGGCAAGACATCACTACTACTATTATTATTTTGCAAAAGCCTCGACCTCTTTCTGTAAAATGTAGATGAATGTCTAAATGCCTTTTTAGTGTTTTTTAGGCATAATAAAAAATTTAAGTTTGTTTACAAAAACTTTTTATTAGGTTATGTTCATATATGATGTTCATTAGGTCGCAAATGCTACTTAATGGGTTGTATTTACGGACATAAATAGAGATACGTAAATTAGGTTATAAATATGAACATAAAATACCACAAAATATAATTGGACGTTAGTCTAGGGATTATCATTGAGACGTATCCTATTCGGACAACGGGTAGACGTCGGGCTAGTTCAAGTATATGTACGTCGTGCAAGCCAACGTGGGAACGACCGCGACGTTGGGAAATTAATAAAAATGGTACGTTGTTATTTTTCACGTCGACAGATCGTTGGATTTACCGACTCGGATCCAACGACGTCGCTTTTAATAGGAAAGCAGGTCACAGGTCGTATCACGAGCACCCGACCTAAATTTGCACAAAGTCTGACGTCGCTTCAGGTCAGATTTAGTTCGAAGTCAGATAGATGCTACTTGGGTTTGGTACTTAAAAGAGATATTTATTAATATTAATATTAAAAGTAAGCCCTCTTATTTCTAGATCTGCCTCTGTATAAATAATTATTTTTAGATACAGGGTGTCCTAATATTTCGTGGACATAGAACTACTACGAATTTTTGGAATCAAAATAAGTTCAGTCAACATAAGTTACCTCTATACAAAACTGCTTCGTTTGTCCGCTAGAGGGATCAAATTAAAAAAAAAATACATTTTTTCAGATATTTTAAGAACCGTTATCTCGATTTGAATGAGATATTGCGTATCTATGTACTAATTTTAATGGTTAATTAAACTTAATGGTAAGGGCTATAACATTTGGATTTCACAAAAATCAAGAAAAAGTATAGGAAGGGTGAAAACTACCCTCATCTCTATTTTAGTATAAAAAATATTTAACTCCATCGCCGGCCCCGGCCGATTTTCTTTTTGTATAATGGTCCCTCTAATAGATGTATATAACATTTTTTGTCTCTAGTAAATAAACGCCACCGCGCTTACTTTTGGTGGAAACAAATTATTTTTGCAAAGCTGACTTCCAAAAAATGTTTTTTGTCACATCAAGTTATGGATATTATTATATGCTCTAATAATCTAATTGGCGAAAATATGGAATTTTATGTCACATCACAAATTATATTTGACAATAAGCTTCATAAAGAACTTAAAAAAATTAATAATTTTTATGCTAATTAACGTTTGGATTCATTTTTGATTGATTCCCTCTAACGGACAAACGAAGCACTTTTGTATAAATGTAAATTGCATTTAACTAATTTTGATCCAAAAAATACGTAGTTGTTCTATGTCCAGGGAATATTGGAGCTCCCTGTATATTTTCTAGGTCTGCTTTGGAAAAATAAATTCTCCAAAATTTTTTCACAAAAACTATGCGATGCGATATAGCGTTTTTTTTACAAGAGACAAAAAATCTAGTAAATTCTAGAGGGATCGTAAAACAAAATAGATAAAATATTAAAATCAACAATTAATAACTTTATTAAATTACTTGTAGGGACATTAACGCATTTTAAAAGTATGAAATCCTAAGAAATTAAAATTGGTCAATTAAATTCTTTTTGGATGTCTACGAAATACTAACTAACGGCCCACATAAGTTTTAAGCATAGAATATTATTCAAAAACTGTAACCAGTTCTTTTACATATATTAAGAATTTTTATGATTGCAAACATAAGGTAGTGCGTATTAAAAAATAACTTAGATTTAATATGTGTCTATAGAAATATATTACAGTTTTTATACAAAATATTTACAATATATCATTTTTGTAATCTTTACATAAATATATTACCTCTTTTTATTAAATACTATTTACAATATTTAAAAACTATTTTAAGCAGTATATTATACAGGAGTTACTAAATAATAATAGCAATTAAGAAAGTGCTTTAATTTAATAATACTATCAAAGCAGGAAAGTGTATTGATGAGGAAAAATTTGAGACTCCTAACATCGATGGGAGCTATTCAAATAAAATATGTTTCCAATATGTATTTCTGGTTTGTATTGAGTATACAATAAACCTTTTAGTAATTTACATTGTATTTTTTATAATACAAATTGCAAAAGTCTAATGGGATCCGCATAAAAATGAAATAACTGTCAAAAATAGAAACAACTTTGCTATACTGATATCATTACCCAAAATACTACTTTCATAATATTTGTTTGTTAGCAATTTCAAAAAAA